ATTTTCTTCCCATCTTAGACACATGTGGCCAATAAGCAGATTGAATGTTCTCACATCTTTTTTTTGGTTTGATTGGAGTTTTCTGTGTGTAAATAAACAAAACTCGTCAACTGATTTGGACCAGGGTAAACTAACTTTAGGTGTGAAAATGCCCTCAAACAGCCCTCCCCAGATGGATTAAGGTCAGGACGATTCTGCCTTGGCTCATCCAAACCTTGAATTTTCTTTGTCTTTGGTTCATTCTGTTCTTGGATTACCAGTCCTCTCCTTGTGGGTTTACATTTTCCAGTAAAATGCTTCGTAATTTGTTGCTCTCCTAACAATCGCGAGGTGTCCAAAACCTGGGGTAACAAGTCAGCCTAAAGCCTAATTGTGCCTCCACCGTGCTTCACAGGATGGTGTTCTGGTTTTTTGGGGTGTAGAGTTTGCAGAGTTGTGGTTTCCTGTGGGGTCACAATTAACCTTATGTCTAGGGAGTCCAGGGATTTTGTTGTTACCCTTGGGTGTTTTCCCCAGGACTATACTCTATATTCCTGATGCTATTTTTGCAGAGAGATAACCGGCAGTTCTCAGTTTCCTCAATTTGGAGACGACCCAAACTTCAGTCTCACCTTATCAATTGGAACGCCTGATTCCAATGAACTTTGGAAGTACTTTTCCCTGCCTGTACTCAGTGATTACCCAGGTTGTTTTAAAATTTTAAATGCATAAAGATTGATCTTCATTTTGAAACCAATCAGTGCAAAAATCATAGTAATTCCAAAGTGTCCACAAACTTTTTCTTGCAACTGGTTTTTTTTTGTTTTGTTTTGTTTTTTTTTTAAACTATATATTTGTGTTCATGTTGTTTTGATCCTGGCCTGTCTCTAAACTGTCCCACAGCAGTTGCAAGCTAAAGCAGCAGTCTGTCTACACACACACACAGAGCCTGTGTCTGTTGTTCCAACACACAAAATGTTTTCAATCACTTGTAATCTGTCACCCTTTTTATCTCCACCAGCTACTGTTCGTAAAGGTGATGGTATTGAATTTGTACAATAGCCCCGGTACCTCCCCCTCTCTCTAACACATGCGTGCACACTGACACACACACTTCTTTTTTTTTTTTCTTTTCTTTTTTTTTCCGGCCATGGAAAGCTGTACTAACACATTTGTGTCACCTGCAGCCCAAGATGACCCCACAGGAACGGCTGAAGCTGAAAATGCAGAAGGCTCTCAACAAGCAGTGTGAGTGCAGCCGAGCAGATCGCATGTGTTTGTGGTTAATGTGCGAATTAAGAATCAGCACTGTGCACAACTTGAAACTGTTGAAGATTTTCTCATATTATGCAAAGTGAAAAAGATGATAAAGATCTTTCTTTTGCCTGATCTGCAGCCAAGGCGGATAAGAAAGCCGCTCAGGTGAAGATCCAGCAGCAGGAACACAAACGGCAGGTAGGGGGGTGGGGGTGGGTGTGTGTGTGTGTGTGTGTGTGTGTGTGTGTGTGTGTGTGTGTGTGTGTGTGAGAGAGCATGTCTGAGGTTTAGTAAGACAGAAGCGTCTTTGTCCACCTATTTCCTCTTATTGCTGGTTGTTTACTTTACAGGAGCGAGAAGGCGAACTGCGAGCCATGGCACGCAAGATACGCATGAAGTAAGTCCGTGTTTGTGTGCCTAGCTGGACCGTTTGGTATTTGTGTGTCGCAACTTTCTGACCCTGGCGCTCTGCGTTTAGGGAGCGCGAGCGCCGTGAGAAAGAAAGGGACGAATGGGAAAGACAATATGGGCGACAGAGCCACTCGCCTTCTCCTTCCAAATATGGTAAGGCTTTAGGTTTTTGATTGACAGCAGCAACATGGCTCCTGTGTAATTAGAATGTGGCTTAATGAACATGCAGTGTTTGTTCTGCAGCCTTGCATACTCGCACAGAAGTAACCAAAATATTTAATCAGCTCAGGCTCTGATTTGCTGCCATCAGTTTCTGCTCTGCCAGTTTTATGGGCTTTAAGATGTTCTGGCATGCAGTTGTTTTTCATCACGGCTCTGTCCTCTGTCCCTCAGGCCGAGAATACAACTCATACAAAAGGTATGTGAGAAGCCACAAGAATCTGCACAGCCACAATGAAGCAGAATGAATTATGTCTTCTTTTTTTTTCTTTCTCTCTGTCTCTCTCTCTCACACACACACACACACACACACACACACACACACACACACACACACACACACACACTGTCTCAAAGGCTCATCACCAGGCCTGCAGACACCGTAGTTAAGCTATTTGTCTTCTCATCAGTTGCAAATTAGAGTACAGATTAGTGTTGAAAAGTCAGACTAAATGCAAAGAGGTCAATACCTTTTCAGGTAGTTTCTCTACAGCCACATGTGTACATCCACAGAGCACTTTATTAGGAACACTATAAGCTCGTCTACCAGTTGGAAAGTGAGTGGATCGATTCCTGACTCCCTCTGGTTATAAAGTGTGTAACTGAGTAGAAAAGCACCATTTAAGCACCAGTCCGTTTTTACCATTTAATACTCAGCTCAGGGCTCCCTTTACTCTCCAAACAGCATCTGTCAGTGGATTCCACATCTTTCTGCCAACACTGGGGGTTCTAGTCCTTTCATCTCAACAGCATTACATAATTTCTGTGTATTGGACAAACGTGCTGTCCGTCTGTAACCTTCATACATAGACGTGGGTCACGTGCTCAGTCTGTTGAGCTCCTTTTTGTGGTTATCTGACCTTTCTCATTGGATCTCCCTCATCTGTCCACAGATATCACACTGTGTGTGTGTGTGTGTGTGTGTGTGTGTGTGTGTGTGTGTGTGTGTGTGTGTGTGTGTGTGTGTGTGTGTGTGTGTGTGTGTGTGTGTGTGTGTGTGTGTGTGTGTGTGTGTGTGGTTTTTTTTTTTTTGTTTTTTTTTTAAACTTTAGTGCCACTAGTAATCAGCACTGTGAGAAATATTCAAATCAGCCTCTGTGGCACCAACAGTCATGCCACAGTCGAAGTCCCTGAGAACAGCTGTTTCCTCATTACCTGCTCCTGACCTGTAACATGTTACACACTTCACTGCCACCACGTCAGTGGCCGATTGAGTGCCTGCTTGAATGAGCAGGTTTAAAAGTGTTTCTAATAAAGTGCTCAGGAAGTGTACTTTATGTTTATAACTTGTGTTTAGATGATCAGTTTAGGTCTGAAGTGAAGGCTGATGAATGATTTTGGATGAACATTGTACGGCCTGATGTAATGTGTTATTGATGTCTAGGGCTTGTTTACTTCAGGGATGTTTGTAAAAAAGAAGAACTGGGGCTAAACTACATGGACATGAATGCTTATTTTAAATAAATAAAAGAACTTTGTGCTAAAATTCACAATTTGAATTGGTTTCTAAAACTTTGGATATTTCCAAACCCCACTGACTGAGGTGCAGACACCTCTTCACTGACTTTCTATGAAAGTCATTCGGGTAGTTGGTTTGTAATACTGCTAACGACCAAACAACTGACGCTTACGCGCCTTGATGGAGCTGATAAGATGATCTTCACCAGATTAGAAACAAATTTTTAATCTCACACTAAAGCACAGCAGTCATATCTTTGTTTGTTACGCTGCTCTTTATACTGGAGTCTTTTCTTTTTTCCAGGAGGTCGCGGTCTCGATCGCGGAGTCCATACTACAGATACTGAGCGGATGGCTGGACAGCAGTACATCGGTTTCGAGCACATACTATCCAACAACAGCCTACATACAACATGGAAACATGAAGAAATGACTGCTGGCTAATAAACCAACACACAAATCTGCACCTGGATGTTCTCTGGTTTTGATCCTGTGACACCTTCAGCCCTTTTCAGACATGGATTGTTTTATTCACACTTGAAGGTCACACTGCTGCTTTCTGAGAACAATTGTGATGCCTGGCACCTGTAGCCTCAAACACTAAAGGTGTGTACTCACACTTGGCTACAGTGACTAAGAGTGGAATCTCTGTATGTGTGCTGCATGGTGCTTCCCCTTACACACAAGCTCAACATTCAGATTCCTGCTTTTCTTTTAAAGCAGAATTAAGTAAGAGAAGAATCTCTAAATATTTCCTAAACTTAGAAACGAATTTTTGATCGTGTGCAGGTTTCTGTGGTTCAGGCTTTAGTGAGGCGAACACCACAAAGATGCAGAAGGGCCATGTGCCTGCCTGTCCTTTCTAAAGCGACTGCATCATTCGACCTGCTGTGATGAATGTGATGCAGAAGGCTGCCGTGTTCAGGTGAAGGATGTCTGAAAAGGGCTCCAGTCACTAAATACAGTTAATTGGTTTAATTTCTCCTTGTAAAGACAGTCTTGTCAAATAACTAACTCCAGTTTCTCCACTTCTGCATGCTCTCCCTCTCCGTTTCCCTTTCTGAACACTTCCTCTCAGCACGGAGACATTTGTATCTACTACTAAGCAATACCTGCAGTTTGTATCCTCCTCGCTTCACAACCTCCTCCCACAGTTTGGCTTCTTTTTTTAATATGAAAACATTAAACCAAGGAACATTTTAAACGCCTCCTGTGTGACACGTCCATCTGAAACCGCCTCACAGAAAGCCGATGAAGTCAAAGTCGATGCATTTATTAAAGTGGCTGCTCTTTTTGTACCGTCCTCAGCCAGCTGTTGACAAAAGCAGAGAAGTCTTTGTTCTCAGTGATGTGGAATGTTAAATACAAATAAAATTTACTTTGAGTTACTTGCCTTTTTTCTTCTTTGTCTTCATTAATGTGACAGATTATGCACAGAATTATTTACTGAAGTCTCCGCGGGGTGAATTAAATATTTAATCAGGATGAGCATGCTGCATGTATTAGTGTAATGTATCACCATGCATTGAGATATACTGCCTGCAGTGCGTGGAGGCGAACGGTAGGAGGCGACAGCGTTCAGCGCTTCGCTGTCACAGAGCGTCTGTGAAACTTCGGAGGTGTTTTCCACGCTGTTTGTTGAAACGCAGTGAGCAAATAACATCAACAGCTGCTCGCAAGAAAAAGGAGAAATAAATATTTCTCTGGTTCCGGTTTGGTTTCAGAGACACCTGTGGAAAACCAACGAGGTATTTCCTCTGAACTGCAGAAGAGGAACTGGTGTTTGAGACCCAGTAACGGGGTGTGAAAACCCTGATTTAGACGGGCTACTTAAAGCTGTGTAAAACAAGCAAAACCGCGAGAGGTGCTCGGGGAAGAAAAGGTTTTAAAAAGTGACAGAAGTCCGTGTCTGCCGAGCCTGTTACCCGGGGAGGGCGGGGTCAGGGTCGGCGGGGCGGGCGGTGCCTCCTCTCGCCCATGCCCCCTCTTGCCCTCCGCTCGCTGCGGGGAGAGAAGCGTGAACTTGAACGCTGCCTTCACTGCGCGCTGCGAGTCCGGGCAGAGGCCACACACCACAGTCTCATCAGCTCGGGCTTCGGACAGTAACTCGGAGCAGGAGAAGCCGGACGGAGTCCGGTTCGGTTTGGGACCCAGAAAGGTGCCAGACGCTCGACGCGATGTCCAGGCGCAAACTTGGAAGCAGACCGCAGCACCTGAGTGCGATTCAAGGTAAGCCCGGAGGGAGAGCAGCGGTAGCGGACGGATGTGATGTTATCGAGGTGAAACGAAAACAAAAATCGAAGTCCCTACTTCTTCTTCTTTTTTTCTCCTTTTTATTGGGCTTATCGGCAGTTTTGCGCGCGTGGTGTGTAGATGCGCGCTGGCACCGGTTATCGCACATTAAATGATGGACTTTTCCCCCTTCCTCATCTCACAGACTTAAAACTATATTTGTGTTTAGACCGATCTGAAGCCAAAGCTGATATTTAATCCCGTGTGCAGCCTAACAGGCAAATATTTAAATAAGAACTCCTAATGTTGGCGTTGTGTTTGTCCTGATGTGCATTGTTGGTGCAGCAGTTTCCACAGAAGAAGGACCGGTTTACTGGCACGCTGCTGTCAGCGGCTACAGGTCCGAACACGATGATTAATATTTTCAGGTTTGAAGATGATCAAGTTTCTCGCTCGGTCTCTGTCTACTTTTGAGAAGACATCACCTGCTGAAAGTCCCTCCAATAAAAGAGAGAGACTAGTCCTGCTTCAAACTATGCAGGAGTTTCTTTTAATTAAATGATAGGTTTAAATAAAGCATGTTAAATGAGGGTGGTAATTTAATCCCGATCAGATTAATCAAACATTAAAGTTTATTAAAGGAAAATGGGGGGAAAAAAACGTGATAACTGAAAGGAAATGGGGACAGAAACTTAAATACCATTTGTTTTTTTACAGTTCTCTACTGGAGACCAGTCGTGCATGTCTGTTGTGACCACAGGCCTTGACTCAACCCTGCGTGTGTGTGTGTGTGTGTGTGTGTGTGTGTGTGTGTGTGTGTGTGAGAGAGAGAGAGTGTGTAACCGCGCCTTGCAAGTCTGCACAAACAGCGCAGGCCTGAAACAGGAAAGGTGACATTTTTGAGTAACAACTGGCGAGATCCGACTTCAGACTGTACTGTCTGTACCTGTCCTGTGTGCTAGCCAGCTCAGCCTGGGCAGGTGGATCCAGTCCAGTCATCAAGGTGTGCCCACGCTGTGTTGAGCAATACACCGCTGACCCCCCTCCTCTCTCCCCCCTTCTCCTCGTCTCCAAAGAGCTCTGTCTGGTCTGAGCTGTGGGACTAAATGAAGAAATACCCAGAGTTTACAGATGGCTCTTCAGAGGTTTGGGTCTGACTTGTTTGCCACTGCTTGCAAACTGCACTTGCGTTTCAAAGTGCTAACCACATAAGATTTGTGAGAGTTGAAGTTGAATCAGATGAGCTGTCCTGTACATGTTTGCGAACTTTAAAAAAGAAAAGAAAAACACAAGGGCCGCAGCTCTTATCTCAAACACCTTCTGCCACTTTTTTCTTTTATTGCAATCCACTTCCTGTTGAGAAACTCTCGCTGCCTGTGGCTGGTAGGGCAACGTTTTATTTTGAGTGAAAGGTGAAAGGCTTTGCCTTCGCCGCTTTTTTAATTCACTGCTCCGGCGTGTCAGCACTCAGTCAGTGGCAGTCCTGTTAACAGGAGGTTGAAGTTTCTGCTGAGATGGACAGATGGTGCTCCTCTCTCGCTCGCTCTCTCTGCAGCCTCAGCGAGCAGATCTGTTTTGCGTTGGTTAAAGGAAGTGGTCAGTATTGGCTGAGCAGATTGGCCTCGTTGCTTGAGAGTTTACAACTGAAACTAGCACTTTCAATCACCACGCCTGCTTGTTGTTCCATTGAGGTCAACTGTACATTGTAAGTAGGCTAATTTATGAGAGCGAGGTCAGAAACTTGTCAGCAAGTCCAAATGAACGAAGTGCTCTCTGATTATATCAACCACCCAGCTGCTTTTGATGCAAAATACAGGTACATCTTCCTTTCTCTCTTTATATAGATGTGTGTATATAGGCAACTCGCTTACAGACTCTAGGGGCATAAATTGGTCATGTGTATGGAACATAAAAATAAGTGCACATTAAAGAAACGCTTCAGAGAAAGCTGGTTGCTGTGGATGTTTTATAGACACTTTAAGCTCCCTGCACTTGATAAGAAAGAGGAATTGCACAGTTACACTTGCATAGGAAAAAAAACTGAGTGAAATGCTCACAGGAAGCAGACACTGATTGATATTTAACCCCAAAGATCTTCATTTAACTCTCCGACAAGAAAACGAGACGACCTGAGAAGCCGTGACTCTTTTACATGTGGCTTCTTGTTTTAATTGATCTCTCTCTCTCTCTTTGTCTGTCTGTTATCTCCTGCCTCAGATGCCACCGATATGCCTGATGAAACCGGCTCATCAGGCGACCACCACCCACCCCTTCCTCCCCCTCTTCCCCCAAATCTTCTTCCTCCGCAGGTCCGGGCTCCTGACCAGGGTCGCGACCTTCTAACCTGCGGCCAGTGCTGTCAGGCATTCCCCCTCGCCCACATCCTGGCCTTCATTCAGCACAAACAGGGTGGCTGCACCGCCCGAAATCTCGCCTCCAACGCCGCGCCACCCTCGCCCGCCGGCCGAGCGCGGCAGCATGTTGCCAGCGCCGAGCTGGGCCCCGGCTTCATCGAGCTCAGGAGAGGGGCAGCCAGGGAGCCAGTCTGGGGGGAGGAGCCCGGCGTGAAGGTGAAGGCGGAGCACAGCAAAGCAGGTGAGCTCTTGGAAGAAGCAGAAGATGATGGCAGGTTGCTAATTAGTGACTCTGGGGGGGGGGTTTGTTGTTTTTTTTTTTGTTATTTTTTTTTCTTTTTGTTCTTTCAACCGCCGCCTCTTCATTTAACAACCGTTCCTCCTCCCTCCCGAGTCCAGCTCATTAACTAGCCGTTGCCATTAGCAGACCTGCGTGAGTTAGTGACGCGCAGGCTAATTGTGTGGAAAGGATAGGCGTCAGGAACATTCGGAGGGCACTCAGGGTCCCCGAGGGCTCCACGCTGAGCACCTGAGCTCCTTCGCATCTCCCTGACTGTCAGTCTCTGAGGTGGAGTGGCCAGGTAAACATGTTTCTCCCTCCCTGTCATTCCCTGCACCCTGGACCTCAGAGACTGAATCCACATCTCCAAACCCCCCTCCACCCACCCCCCCAAAAAACATGAACACACACACAGAGGAGCGTGTCTCAGTATTCAGTGTGTTTTCCAGAGGGCGGCTGAAAGGCTCCTGTGTTAAACGGTCAGAGGATGCGAGGCAGGCAGATCGTGCTGGTTTCCTCGCTGTCATGACACTCTAACCGAGGACATTGCATCATGTGCGGCTCCTCTGCCATCTCCCGCTGTTCTGCCCCAGGCCGAGCCACCTGAGCTCCAGGGAATCTCCCTCTTCCTCCTCCTGCTTTTTCTTCATCTCACTCGTCTTTCTCCCTCGTCTTCTCCTTTATTTCCAGAGTCCTAACCCATCCCTCTCCTCTTCTTTCAATGGCACCAATTTTCTCTCCTCCTGCCTTACTTCCTGCTTTCCCTACTGCTGACTAAATGAGCTTGATCTAATATTGTGTCTTTTTTAGGGTGGAGCCCATTAAACTCAATCAGAAATTCTTTATTTTCTTTCATAATTTAACTGAGATCCTTTTTGAAGAAGGGCTCTTCGTGTCCAGGTTTAAAATAAACAACCAAAGAAAAAAGAAAAAGAAACGTGAAGGCCACGTTGTAGCTCTCGAAAACGGACAGAGCGTCTCGCTGCAGACGCGTGTAAGGTGTGAGTGCCCCCTTTGCACATTTTGAAACTCTCTCTGCCACAAGTTAGCAGTTCCTTCCTTTGTGTAACGCTCAAGGGACGGCTGCACGCACCATTTCCGTTTGTCCACAACCCCTCTTGTTTTGTTTCTTCTGTTTCAGTGTGCTCACCTCTCTTGCTCTGCCTCTCACTCTGAGGCACAGAAGCACACCGGTTTAGTAATTTGGTGGCCTGCAGGATTATACAACAAACCTAACACGTGCATGAGGCGGAAGTGGAGAGCACGACAACATGTGAAAAATGCAAAAGAAGAAAAGCTTAGATTAGATTTTTTTATTTTTTTTTAAATTCAAGAACCTAGGTTGCTGCTTGTTTGGACATAAAAACAAAGTCTGAGCTGAAATGTGCAGAGTGTGGCTTTAATTGGGCGTCCGGCTGGCCCTGAAAAGTTCTAGTTGATGTTTTGGTTTTACTCGAGCGACGAGCTGTTTTTCTTTTTTTATTTGTGGTAGAGAAATTGAACATCTGACAAGATGACTGAAAGCGAAAGAGCAGTTATCCCACAACAGACAGGTCCTCCATTTATTTTCCTGCATTCAAGAGCGGAGGGAAGGGGGTAGAGCAGGATGGATTACTGAAGAGCCGCGTGCATCTGTCTCATTCCTTTTTATTTATTCTCCTTGTTTGTTTTTTTTTTCCTCCTCATCACCCACCCCCTCCCACCAACATCCCCCCCCCCATCTTCAACACACTTTCGCTTTGCCCTCTTTCAATTTCTCGCACCCCCCTCTCCTCTCTTCTTCCTCTCTTTTCTCCTCCCTCCTCCTCCCGAGGGAAAAGAGATTCTGCCTGCTGCTCGTTAGTGCTCCCAGCCAATCTGCATTTTTAATTAGTAGTTATTGCTTCTGCTTAATATTCAAGTGCTACCCCGGGCCAAATGGGAATCCTTACAGGGGAAAAAAAAAAAAGAGCGAGGAGTGAGCGGGGAGAGAGAGCGAAGGAAAGAGAAACCGGCTGGGTATTGTGTTTCACTCCAGGACCCCGAGACAAAAGCCCCACCACCACCCCACCACCCCCCCTCAGGGAAAGATTTGGAGGGTACTGGGGGGCGGCGGGGTGAGGAGAGCCGGGGTTGGAGGATGGGTCTCAGCTCCAATCCGAAGGGGTGACATATTTTTGTGGCATCTCTCAGCCCCCCGTACTACATTATAATCTTTTTATCTCATTTTCTTTTTATCTCCTGAGCCCTGACCTACCTATCTCCCTCCCCTTCTTCTTCTTCCTTTTTTTTTCCTGCTCCAGCTCCTCACCCTATTTTTAAAAGAAGTATCACAACTTCTCCTGGGTTTCTCCTCAGGCTAGGTTAAAGGACTCGAACACCGCAGCTCCTGTCGTCTCCAGACAGAGGGGATGGCGAAGGGGGGGGAGAAACAGTTGCTCTCTTTTTCATCTTCACCCCCCCCACCCCCTCTCCCCCTCCAGTAAAATACAGAAGGATTTAACTTGAGGAAACATGAAAGAGGCTTATACCAGAGTCGGCTTTGAACCTCTCCAAAAAAAGAGAAAGAGAGGAGAGAAAAAAATAGTTTTTTTTTCCCGCAATTTGGGAATCTTCTCTCCAATTTTGATTTATGCAGAAAGGCCTCATTTGTCAAGCAGGCTGAGTCAGAGCCTGATTTACATAAAGCGTTCGTTTTCTGCGTTCTGCTAATTAGCAATTTGCAGCTTAATTGGAGAGTGGCTCTCGGTGAGGAGACAAAGCTATCCACATATAAAAATATCTCCAGATGTACTCTGTGACACAGCTCGCCTCGCTGTTGGACTTCCAGTTTCCGGATCCTGATTTCTCTTTCTTCAGGTCGCACTTTTGCCTCCCTCAGTTCTTCCTTTCCTTAGTTGGGCCTTAGGTCTTCTCATCACCTTTAATGCATTTAAACTGCAGCAGTCTGTCTGTACTACTCTTCTTATAGTCTTATACTGTTCAGTTTAATCGCTTCAAAGCATCTTTAAAAGCAGCCAGGACATTAAAACCAATGAGAAGTTAAAGCTTTACTGGGAAAAGAAAACTTGAGTCCTGGTACTTGTGTGGGCGTCAATTTGACATCTAAAGGAGGCTCAGGAGGTAAAGCAGGTCATCTACTAATCGGAAAGTTGGTGGTTTGATCCCTGCCTACTCCAGTCTTCATGCCCTGAGTCAACCCAGAGTTGTTCCCAATCAGTTCATCGGAGTTGGATGTTGGACAGAAAGCACTACTTGTATTAATGAATGAGAAATGTATAAAGTGTTTTGAGCGTACAATTAGAGTAGAAAAGCACTAGCACTCCCTGATGGCAGAAGCCTCTCCCTCCCACACACAAAGATCTGTAATTGTTCAGGAGCACAACATCCTCAGTCCGATCAAGTATCCCTAGGACGTGCCAGAACAAGCCCAATCCACCCCAAGCCACAACCCACAGGGTGCAGAAATACCACCTGCTCATGCCCAGTGGGTCACATGATATCAGGCGAGTGGTTTTCATGTTGTGGCTAGTGGCTAGCCATAGCCTATCAAGCGGAAAGATCCCTGGTTTGATCCCGGGAGGAGACAAAAATCTCTTCGGTGTTGTGTCACAAAGTGTAAAAAAAATCTGTTGCACCAAACATGCAGAGCTGCTCGCTGTCGAGACCTTCGTGTGAAAAAGGGAGCGGCCGAAAGTAGCTTTGGTTTTAATGTTGTGGGTTATCAGTGGCTTTTTATGTTTAACCCTCTGAGGTCTGAGTCATCTTCCGTGATGACCCTAACCCTCTGAATATGTTATCTTTCACTCTTTTAAAAAAGTTGCTCTGCAAAATTTTAAGTCCAGTAGCCCAAAGTCTTTGAAACTTTTTCCAGCTGTCAAAATGAGTTTTTTAAATTTACTTATTTAAAGCAGCAATGAGCCAGTAAACAATCAGGAACTAAAGATATATTTCACTGAGAAGGTGGTGGAGACCAAAAGTAGAGCTCGAAGGACAGACACACATGTGCAGGACATGCACGTATCCGAAATGTTGTTCCCCCACACGTGGGTGTGCACCTGGAATAAAATATAATTAATACATTTTTAACCAAGAACAGAAAGCTATAAGAAAATGAGATACAGATATGAAAGTAAATAAGGTTTTAAGTGTAAATATGAAAGTCAAAATACAATTATTGATGCCTGTGTATAAATTTATGGGGTGTTAATAAAGATCCTTATTGCATTATTGCAGAGAAGGTGTCTGTGTATCTGCTGGATGTGTGAAGTGTTTGTGGACACTAAAGCAGTGGTTTTCAAACTGACCTTGGATCCATTTCTGCTGTTAATGATTGACCTGACTGAATTGAATGATTGATCTTTTGAGAACCGCCTCTTCAGGTGGCTGCATGTTTGTCCTGTCCCGCGGTGGGTGCTGGACACTTTTAGCTGTACTCTTAGTTAGCGTCCTTTATCAAAACCACTAACTCACTTCTGTTTGGTCTGTGTTTGCAGTGCCAGAGGAGCCCTTGTATTTCATCTGCCAGCAGTGTGAGGCCGTCTTCCAGTCCGCGTGGTTGCTCTTACAGCACGCTCAGCACACGCACTCCTTCAGCATCTACCAGGAGGATGAGGGCAACGCTGTCATGGAAGGAGGAGGAAGTAGGGATCTTAAAGACCACAAAAGTGCTGCAGCCATTTTGGACCCACGACACCTGACCCAAGCGCTCGCTTCAGCCTTCCAACCCTCCGTCCCACGTCTTGGCCGTTCCCGTCAGTCCCACGGCCCCCTCTCCTCCTCGTCACCTGCCTCCTCCTCCTCCTCCTCCTCCAGGAACCTGCAGACTTTGAACTTTTCCGTGCGGCTCAGGGAGCTTGCCGAGGTGAATAACAACACAACAAGTGGCTCCCCCGGAGGCCTGGTGCTGTCGCCCTCTTCTTCTCCACCGGCAGCTTCTCCTTTTCCTCAGACAAGCGCCCTCCAGGCCGACTTCCACTGTGAGCTGTGTGACCAGAACTTCCAGTCCCTCCGCGCCCTCTCCGCCCACCGCCGGACTCACGCCTGCGAGCGGCCTTATCACTGTGGTGTGTGCGGCCAGGCATTCGCCCAGAGTGGCCAGCTGGCTCGTCATATAAGGAGTCATCACCGGGAGGCCGGAGGAGGAGGAAGTGGATATGAGTCTGTGGAGATGGTCGAGGAGGAAGGAGGGAGGCAGGGGCCAAGAGGCAGGCTTCAGATTCAGCCAGCGGGAATCACGGGGAAGGGAGACCTGATGGTCCACATCCCCTCCGAGCTGGACTTGACCTTCCCCAAACACCCATCCTTGGCTTCAGGTCTAGTGCTGCTGCCCTCTCAGGTCAGACCACCAGAGAGGGAGCTGCTGAGGCTCTACCAGACCACCAGAGAGGGAGGTGAGGAGGAGACGGAGGTACATGCAGAGGCTCCACACACCTCGCCTTGCGCCAGCCCCTCTGAAGGCTCGCTGGAGAGCGGAGAGACGGGCGGCAGCGGCGAGAGCGGCATCGCCAGCGGAAACTGCACTCCAAAACGTCCTGAGGTGAGCGACAAGGTGCGAGGTGTGGGAGAGTGGGAGAACGAAAGAACGAAAGAGATCATCGAGAAGGAGTGGAGCTCGGCCAAAGTCAGCGAGGCAGTGCAGGAGTGGCAGAGGGACAATGAGCGGAGGACCGTGACGGGAAGCGTGAGCACAGCAGGCAGCGGCGGCGCGTCCGCTGGAGCGCCAGGGAAGAAGAAGAAGGACGAGGCCTGCGAGTTCTGCGGCAAACAGTTCAGGAACAGCAGCAACCTGACCGTGCACCGCCGCAGCCACACCGGCGAGCGGCCCTACCGCTGCGGCCTGTGCAACTACGCCTGCGCACAGAGCTCAAAGCTGACGCGCCACATGAAGACCCACGGAGCCCAGGGCGCAAAGGCGTCCTTCTTGTGCCAGCTGTGCGCGGTGCCCTTCACCGTCTATGCAACACTGGAGAAACACCTGAAGAAGGTTCACGGCCTGAGTCACGCCAGCGTGGGAGCATATGCGCAGGCCAGCGCCGCAGATACTCTGGCTGCAATAAAAGCAGGGGGAAAAGCTGCAGCGGTGGTGAAAATGGAGGAGGACGAAGCCGGATTGGATCAGATAGAGATGGAGAACAGAATGCAGAGTAACATGTCCAGCACCATGGAGGTGGAGGAAAGGCAAAGCCAAGAGTACATGGAGAGCAGCAGGAGTCCAGCCATAGCGAACGACCTCCCGCCTGAGAGCAGCACGGAGGCCCCTTTAGCTTTGACTCCTGCACCCTGAGAGTCTCTCAAATAAAAACAACAAAAGAAGCACTGTATAGAATTTAACCCCCCATTTAGTAAAACAAAAAGAAACTGAGTTAAAGTGCAGTTTAAAGAAGCTGCAGGTGTGTGCGTCTGTGTATAGAAAGCCGCCCCCAGAAGACGTTGTTCACGATTATGTGCGCAGCTGCCAGTTGAAACTAAGTGCCTACAGTTCTTTTAGACCACAGAGAAAAACAAGGCCATGACATTCAGCAGGGAGATTACCATAGCTCTCGAACAGGAAGTGAACTGCCACAGTCCACACCGACACAGGAAACTGATCACCATGTTGCAGTGCAGGATGCAAAAGACATGTGATTTATGTCTCTGGTGACCCGCTGGACAGGTGGAGGCAGATCTTAACTGCCACGCGGTGCAGAAAACGGTTTATGTTGAATTTAAAAAGAAAAGGGAAAAAGCCTGACAATAGAGCAACTTTAATATATTTTCAGATGGAGAGAGGTCATATTGTGCCGCATAGCCATTGCTGGTTTTCTTATGAGAAGACCTTTTAAAGGCTAAAGCGGTTTGAACAGACACAGAGGGGGGAAATGAATCCAAACACTGCCCGCCTGCAGTTTCTCAGACTCCTCTTTTTAAAGGCGCTTGCTTGTCACAACACTTGTCACTTAACGTAATGTTTACAAGGCTCGCGGGGCCTAAAGCAAGGTTGTGCTCCTGACTTTGTCACAGTGTGTGTGTGGATGACTATCTGTTCTGTTTTTGTTTGTTTTGGGTTTTTTAAATATAAATATAAATGTGAAATTAAGAGAATTTAAAGTCTACTGATGTTTTCCTTTCATTTTTTTCTATGCATTTAAAAATTTTTTTTGAAAAAACACAAGAAAAACAGCAATTTTACCTACATGTGAAACGGGTGTGTATTATTTTTGTTTTCTCTCAGTGACGGTTGTGATGGTAATATCTGTCTTTCATTGTTTACATCTGTAAATTACTGGACTGGTTGAAGCTCGTGCATGCTTTGCAGTAACTTGAATTTCTTTTCTTGCTTTCCTGTGTCTCAGTTCTTCCTAATTTATGGACGCCGCATGTTTCGCCAGGTTTGGAGGGCTTGCACGAGTGAGTTGTATGTACATTTTTGGGCGTTTTTTTTGTTTGTGTGTACATATCGCAGACTCTGCTTGAAGCCTCCATCCTGGGATCAGGTCAGAGCCTTCAGGCAGATTGCCCCCACCCTTTTTTTTTCCCCCTCTCGTGACTACTGTGATGACTTTGTCTGATGTCTGCTGCATTCAGGTCAAAATAAACTGTTGTGTTTTCTAAAAGTGGATTATGAAAGAGTGCAGTGTAACTGTTCAGGGATTTATTTTTATGTATGTATATATACATATATATATACTGACTTTATTGCTATTGCTTGCTGTTAATATTATCTCCCTACATTGTTTGCTTTTTTTTCTAGGTTATCGTGAAGCTTTCGCCGCTCCTGCTGTCTTTGTAAACTTGATGCCATTTTGTAATTGACCTTGTCAGTTGTCACAAGGAGCCTCAATAAAGTGTGAGGTGAAATATTTTACATTTTCGAGATTTTCTTCCCTCCTCGTCTGTCTTTCTGTTCTCTTAGTTCATTTCTTTTTTTTCTTTTTTTCTCCCATGAATATTTTGTTTCCTGTTCTGGGACAACAAAGCTTCTGAAACTATTTTTAAGTGTCCTTTCTCACCAGGATGTTGTCTTAGTCAGTGCGGGTCGTTCCTCTGAGGACCACAGTCAGCGCTGAGTTATTAATTTTTAATGTGAGTGTTTGGATAAGGGACCCTCAGTCCTTGTTTACATCCTTGTGATGTTACTCGCTTTGTCTGGAAACACTGTAATGTAATTCTGCCAGTTAGGAGGGGGAGTGCACTAGTTACTGTGTGTGTGTGCGTGAGTGTGTTTGAGTTGGTGTCAGTCACTCCACAGATTGTGCGATGGGTGCAGCAAGCTGTGATGGGACACGGGTGGCCAGGATTTCTCAGGATACAAAATTGGAGGGGGAGGCGGGTGCCTGGTGGCAGTTTGGTTATTGTTTGTGGGCATGTTAGGAGGCAGAGCAGGATGGGTGGGGAGTGTCAAGGGGTTGGGATAATTGCTGACTCCATTTTAAGGGCATAAAAACCTCTGCACCAGCATCTCTGGCCTTAACCCCACCACCCCCACCCCCACTAATGAAAATGAAGTTCTATGATCCCTCTAGCTCATTAACAGCAGGTCTTTTAATGAGCTTTCAACAAGGTGGGGGCTGGGAAGATGAAGAGGAGGAGTGGGGCTTGATTTGGGGGGGGGGTTATTGCACCAGATGCACACACGCCCACTATTACCAATTACCATTGTGTTATGGTGAATAAGGAGGAAGTGAAGACAGAAGCCTCTTTGGATCCGGATGAGTCAGTTTGTCCGTTTCTCTCCACAGAGACGAAGGGGGAAAAACATGAAAGAGGACAGTACAGGTGACAGGTAAGATCTCTCAGGTAAACTCTGCTCTGCGAGGCTGTTGGGTGCTGCGGCGGGCGCCATTTGGTGCTCGTATGATCCCAATTATGTAAGGCGATACAGAGCAGAAGACTGCATAGCAAGTGGATATGTGCCCTTTGTCTTCCAGCAGTCCACACCTATCCACACAGGTCAGCGTCAGTCCCCAGACCAGCCAATCACAGTGCTTGAAGAAGTCATCATGGCTCCCACTCTGTGTGTGTCTGTGTGTGTGTGTTCTGACCAGTGGGTGCCCCTGGGCGGTAGTAATGTGGACTTTGAGATCTAATCGTTGTCTCAGCTCAGAAAGGGAAAGCTTTTGTTTGAGTGGAAGTTAAAAGAGGACGCTGTGGGACAGACGCAAGCAACCAGCAGAGTCACAGGGGAAGTTAATACGCTGCACACACACTCACACACACTCTCACACACATCTGCTGTCTAAAAACAGGAAGATTTATTGACATAATGAGAAGATATCTGAGATTTTTAGAATAGTTTTGCTCTCTGTATTGATACTGTGTTACTGTTAAAACAGTTTTCTGGATATTTTCG